ATAAATACAAATATCTTAAAAAAATTTCTTTTTCTCTTCTTTCTTTTCCTCCTCTCTCTCTCTCTCTCTTTCTTTCTCTCTCTTTTACTGCCGTTTTTTTTTTTATCATTTTAAAATAGCGCAATAAAATAAGGTTTAATTTTTGCAATAAAGCCTACTTCAACAAACAAATTAACTCATAGCAAAGTGCTTTGACATCATTTTTTTTTTTATTAAAAATAAATGGTTGATTGGTTACATGGAAATGTGATAACAAAGGGGAAAAAAAAATTCTTTTTTTTTTTGAAATGATTTAATGAAATGTGAAATTTTAAATGCTTATAGCTAGCTGTTCAATATCATTCAAATGAAATGTTTGAATTTATTTAGATATTTTAACCAAAAAGAAAAAATTTGTGAATGAAAATTTTTGTTTAAAATTTAAATAATACAATAAATGAAAAAGAAAAGTTAGCATTATGTCAATTAAACAAAAATAATTGCAACAAAATTATCGCTAATTAATGCAATTAACAAAATTATCACTAATTAGCACAATTAATAAATTGATATTTTATATAAGATGCATTAGTTAATATGTTTAATATTATTGCAAAAAAAAAAGAAAATATTGCATTACTTAATTAGTTAAATATTAATTAGTATAATATTAATTCTATTATTACTTATTCTATCATACTTAACTTTGGCCTTATATCCGATCTTTATATTCATATTAGGAAAATGATGTTAATTAAATGAAATCAAAGAATGAAAAAGTTTTCACCTCTCTAACATCATTTGTTATACTTATTTACTCTTTTTCTCCCTCTCTCTCCCTCTCCCTCTCTCTCTCCGTCTCCTTCTGCCCCTCTTTCATCATTGCTATTCTATTATCATTATCAATAAGTCATTATCAGTTTTTATGATCACTTTTAATTTTATCATCACAACAATAAACATTTTTTTTTCTAAATATTTCATCGATAATGATAACTAACAGCAAATCAAGCAAAAAAAATAATAATTTTTTATTTTTTATTTTCAAAAAAAGAACAAAAAAAAAAGGGAAAAGAAAAGACAAAGTACAAACTACGGTGTTTGTTAGCTATTCAATTTGAAAAAAAAAATAAATAAAAAATAAAATCTTTTTTGACGAAATTTTTTTATGCCAAGAAAACAGAAAAAAAAAGGAAGAAAACAAAGTAAAAATTGCATTATTGATTTGAAGAAATACTTAGATAATATATCTAAACATTCAATAAAATCTTGTATAATTAAAAATGAATGTTATAAGTAAATAATTTATTATTGATGATGACTAGAAGGAAATTATCTACAAATGATTTACAAAAAAAAAAAAAAAAATTATCATAAATAAAAGGTAAAAAAGAAAAAGAAGTTATCTATGTTGATAAGATCGAAAAATTATTATAGATAAAAGAAAGAATAATTAGCCAAGCCAATGAAATTGAAAAATTATCAGCGATAAGGTAAGGATAATTAACTAAGCTAATGAAATCGAAAAATTATCACGGATAAAGGTAAGAATAATTAGCTAAGGTAATAAGATCGAAATTTTCTTTGGTAAAATAAAGGATAATTAACAAAGCGAATAAAATGTAAGTTTTCTTTAAACAATTTACAAAAAGTATCATAAGGTATACGAACTTAAGAGGGGGGGGGGGGGAGAGATAAGGTTTAATTTTATTTTAAACAATAAAGGAAGCCAATGGTAAAACGATCGAAAAGCGACTAATAGAATTTTATTGATAAAAAAAATTTGTAATTATGTTCTTTCTCTTAGACTAACTTTATCTAACAAGACTAGAAAATGATATCGTAGTCAATGGTTATCACTAAATTAGGTAGAAGAAAAACTTAAAGATATGAATTAGATAGTAAGGTATCGAAATACATTAAAATATTCTTTCAATTATGATTAAATAATTATTTCTTTCCTAAATCTATAATGATATATATATATATATATATATATATAT